TTCGACAGCTTCTCGATGTCAACCCCCAAGCACTCTTGGCTGACTCCCTTGGTCATTTACACCCGAAAGTGTTGATGCTTTCTGCCTACTTGCCCCCTTGCTAGGCAGTGCAATCCCTCCCTGTGACAACAGTTCTTGAACTCTATCCTCGTCATGTCCCTTGGAATCCCAAACAGCAGCAGCTCCAACTTGTCTCCCTTCCACAGTTTCTGCTTTCATCCTCCCGGCTTCTTCACCATCCTCATGATACTACGGCAACTGGACCGTGGCCACTTTTTTTTCGTGTTTTACCAGGAAGGTTTACGGCATACTCGGCCTTCCCAATCCGAGTGTCCGGCGGGGGTTGTGGTTTCTTTCAGTTCTGTTGCCGGCTCACCGACGCTAAATAGCGCCTCCAACATGGGCTCGTAGTCTAGATCCAAGTTCACACCTCCTGACACAAGTACCNCGGGGGTTGTGGTTCCTTTCAGTTCTTTTGCCGGCTCACCGACGCTAAATAGCGCCTCCAACATGGGCTCGTAGTCTAGATCCAAGTTCACACCTCATGGCACAAGTACCCCGGTCTTGTGCCGGGCGCTTTGCTTAAGAAATACCCAGACGTCCCCCGACCACCCAATTCATTTTTTCCGAACTCCCGTGGTACAGGCTACTTTCCTCCTGGGAGGTCATTTTCACCACAATAAGTTCAGGGACGACTTGCATAGCCTAAGATCCTACTCACACGCCGGGATGGAGCGTACACCAACGTCCAGCTTCTCATGTACGCTCCACCATGGGTTGCTACCCTACTTACGCTCCCAAGTAGACCTATCTGCCGAAAGTTTGGCCAAAAATTCCTTGCTGCTTTGTACTCGCCTCTCTCCCATCGAAAACAATGCATTGTGCGTGCCGCACATGTAACTCCGCAGTTTTTGCATCCTTGGTCTGGTCGTTCAGCTTGCTCGACGTGAGTATTAAGCTTTGCATTGAGGGCTCATTGTTTTGTTGATCCACTTCAAGCAACGAACACCCCCCCCCTTCCACCGTCCGATTCATTTTGGATCTCACGCCGGAGAGTTTTGGGGTGTCTTGATCTAATCCTCCACCGCCCAATGGGGGACTTGATTTGTTTGTTTTTATTGCCGTACCAATAGGCATCAACCTCAGGTAAGCTTGTACTTGAACTGTACCCTCCTCATCCTCTGGGAGGTAGAGGGGGGGGGGGAGGCGCGTGGCCTCTATTTGTCAGGGAGTGTTCGGGTACGGGTTGGGGGTCGGGTCTATGTGTACTGCATTCTCGAATTGTCCCCTCACTATAGCTACTACTGTGGATTTTCAGTATTCAGCTATCCTCACTCAACGCGTCCATGTGTCCGGCTATCCTCACTCAACGCGTCCATATGTCCGGATTTGTCCAATACAAATCAACCTGTGAGGTTTCAGTATTCAGTTTTCCTCACTCAATGCGCCAATGTGTCCGGCAATCGCAAACGTCACTCAACCCGTGAGGTCTTAGTATGCAGCTATCCTCACTCAAAGCGTCTATATGTGTGGCAAACTCAAAAAACAATCGTTTCAGCTTGCAGCTATCCTCACTCAACACGTCTGTCTGTGTGTCCGGCAATCTCAATACAAATCACCTGTGAGGTTTCAGTGTGTGTCTTTCTTCACTCAAAGCGTCTATGTGTCTGGCACTATCCAACATCACTCAACCCGTGGGGTTTCAGTATGCAGCTAGCCTCACTCAACACGTTTTATGTGTCCGGCAATCTCCAATACATATCACCTGTGAGGTTGAGTATGTGTCTATCCTCACTCAAAGCGCCCATGTGTCCGGCACTCCAACATCACTCAACCTGTGGGGTTTGAGTACGCAGCTATCCCCACTCAACCCGTCCATGTGTCTGGCAATCTCAAACCTCATTCAACCCTTGAGGTTTCAGTATACAGCTATAATCACTCAACATGTGTCTGGCAATCTCATACATTACTCAACGTGTGAGGTTTCCATAAACAGTTATCCTCACTCCACTTGTCCATGCGTCACGCGTCTTTGGTAGCGCACACTGTGGGAGCTATATTTGGGGTGGCGTGTTTTACGGCGCTTTACCAACAGCGCCAGCCCACTACTATGGGGGAGGGGGGGGTATGCTACATGGCCTTGTAGTGCACACGTACCACGACGGGGGGTATACTATGACAAAGACGATTTTAGGATGGCGTAGCACTTCGACAACATGACTACTAGACTAATGTGCGTGAATGTCGACAAGTCGTTTGTTCTTGTTGTGTGCCGAACGAAACGCCGAACAACTCAGGAATTTGCTCGGGAGTTGGTGATACGCTCGAAGACTGGTCAAGGAGATTCGACATTAGCGTCTCCGGGGTTAAGACGAAACAACTTCCCGAACGGTCTCACCCCCCACGGCAAAGCTATGGGCGGGCATGAGTTGGAAAGCTCCACGCACCGGGGCCACAAATCAGTTTCCGCCCCATCATTAGTCTCCTCTGATCAGGGCGTCAAGTATGGGAGAGGGGGGAGACGACCGCCCTAGAGGGGAACAACAAATTCATGTTTAGCAACTGCAAGTATTGAGCATACATATAGCATGCAATGGGAAGCGGTAGCACAGGCTATAGTATCCATCCTGTACTGACCATGATGACGAGGGCGAGGTTGGCGCAGATGGCGAGGTTGGTAATCGCCAACATGTTCGACGCAACCAGCTCGAGAAACTTCAAAACCTTGATGAACCCCGTGACGTTGCTTCCGGCCGAACAAACAAATACCATGGTTGCTTCCGTCTGGATAAAGAGCTTATTATGTAGGAGACCACTGGTTTGTAGCAAAACGGAAGAAAGGGAGGACACCACGTGGGGTTTCCAAATTGGCCGAGCACGATGGGAGAAGGGGGCGGGGGGGGGGTCCGAGAACTGGATTAGCGGGTCATGATGTGTAGTGAATCAGAACAAAATATGCATATCAAAACCCGAAAGAATGATTGCCTGAGTGTTCAGAGTACCTCAAATAGACTAAAGCATTCTCGTGGCGATGTAGACGAACCCAATCCTCGACAGACGTTCAAGCTGGAACTAAAAAATTGAATGGGCCCGCCGTCACCCAATGGCCATGTGCCAATGTGAGTCGAAAAAAGATCACGCGCCACGTTTTGCCGTACGGCCAGCGCTAATTCATCGGTCTGTTCGGCGACGTCGAGCAATTGGTTCGGAAAAAGGTTGAACTGTTGAGGTGCAACGCATATCGAGCAATTTTGCAAGGCACGATACGGCTCTGAGCACCGTTTCCCGGACAATGTGTTGACAACGTCTCCCGAAAACGCACGAAACATTG